GGTGGCAGCTGACCGTCCGGTGGCAGCTGACCGTCCGGTGGCAGCTGACCGTCGGGTGGCAGCTGACCATCCGGAGGCAGCTGACCGTCGGGAGGCAGCTGACCGTCGGGTGGCAGCTGACCGTCCGGTGGCAGCTGACCGTCGGGTGGCAGCTGACCATCCGGTGGCAGCTGACCGTCCGGTGGCAGCTGACCATCCGGTGGCAGCTGACCGTCGGGAGGCAGCTGACCGTCGGGTGGCAGCTGACCGTCCGGTGGCAGCTGACCATCCGGTGGCAGCTGACCGTCCGGTGGCAGCTGACCGTCGGGTGGCAGCTGACCGTCCGGTGGCAGCTGACCGTCTGGTGGCAGCTGACCGTCTGGTGGCAGCTGACCGTCGGGAGGCAGCTGACCGTCGGGAGGCAGCTGACCGTCCGGTGGCAGCTGACCATCCGGTGGCAGCTGACCGTCGGTTAGTTTTATTTCTAGAAGATTCTCTGATAATCTTCAGATTGTCTTGTAAAGTTTTACTGTCATGGCTGCTGTTAGCTTCTAGAGTCGATCCTCAAAGTTAGCAGCTAGCAAAACAAACGAGTCTGCTCCAAAGAATCACTTCCTGAACCGCACAGGAACGAGTGTAATCACAGGTTTCATCCTGCAGGAGGCGATATACTGTGCTGTAGAATGCTATGTATTTAAAACATGGTGGGTATCAACATGGTTGAAGTTAGCGCTTTAGCATTAGCTTCCGTAGCTCTGAAACCAAGTGAATAAAGTTTATCAAAGGGGAAAAACCAGCTGGTGTGTTGATATCTGGAGGTCTTTATTGTCATAAAACTTTATTTCATTTCCTCTTCAGTCAGTATCGATGAGTTTCTGGTGTTTCCGACGAGCGGCTCTCTGAAGCGCCTCCGTGTTTCTGACTGCGGTCCGTCATCCTGACTGATGGCTCATCCAATCAGCTCGCCTTCGCTTCCCTCCAATCTGATCAGATTTGTAGGGATCAGCTTTGATTTGCAGCTCAATCAGATGTTTATGGAGTCAGAGAGAGAACATCAGGAGGCGAGGGAATCCATCTGACAGCTCCTGTTTCCGGCGGCTGGAGAGGCTTCGGATCAATTTGCAGCCATTATGGACATTATTGTTCAAACTCCTCCAGAGTTCAGACTCCATTTGTGAAGCCAGACATCAGGATGAGCAGCTTTATGAGAGACTCGTCTTCCTCTCTCTGCTCGTCTTCAGAAATAACTCAGCCACACTTAGAGACAAAAACGTTCATAATTCTTTAGATTTCTGTTATTATTAAATCAAGCAGGGATGCATGATATATCGATGTATCAATCTATCAATATATCGGTATATCGGTCTGATTAGTAAAACTCATTATGTTGGTCATGGTGAAGCAGCAAAGGATTATGGGAGTGCAACGGAAGTAGAGAAGCAATTGTACATATTTCTGATGTCGGCAATATGTACGATATCGGTAAATATCGGTAATCAGCCATATCGGCAGTATTAGTCTCGATGTTGGTGAATCTCCTGAAATCAAGATGATGTTGATGTGATCATCTCATCCGGCAGAAACACACATCACAATGAATAAATACGATCAGGCTGCATCCAGGTGAGTTCAACTAAAAGTTTTTAATGAGATTAATAAAACATAAAGCTTCATTTTACCCAAACACTGAACAATGTTTCTGTTTATCTAAGTATTTATATAACAGGGCAACTGATGGACTGGGCCAGGATCAGTCATGGTTCTCATTTTAACTGCAGTTTGGAGTATTTTATTTAGAAAAGCTTTTATTTTGAAAAATATCAACTTCCCCTTCTGTTGGACCCCTTTGCACAGGCCTGCAGCCCAGTTGTGTCTGCTGCTCTTGCAGTTTTGCTGTTTGCAGTTGGAGCCTGAAGCAGTGAGTCGGTAACCAGGAAAACCCGGAGTGGAGTTTCGGCAGCAGGAATATTCGGTCCATCAAGTGGAACGGATTCTTTCAGGAAGAAATAAAAACAGGCAGAGTGGAATATTTTACTGGAAAAGTCCAGTGTAAGCAGGGCTCTATTCTCAAGTCACTTTTATTTATTATTTTTTATTTTACCTACTTTGCTCACATGCTCAGGTAAAAATAGATTTTATTACCATCTATGCAGATGACATCACTGCATATTTCTGTCACCACATAATAAAATCACTGAATACATTAGTGGCAATATCTGGTGTGAACATTTCTATGTTTTAATTAAACTGAATCTGTGTTTATTATATCTTTACGATATGAACCAGAATGTTTGCAAACTAAATAACTGCTGATATTCTCTGTCATTTAGGAAGATGGCACATATAAACGTCCTTTATTTTATTTCACTTAATTAATTTAATGCATGTAGTTTTTAAAGTTGAACAGTTCCTGAATCAGTTGCTAAAGCGAGTTTGGGTCCAGATCCGTCCTGGTTTCATCAGTCAGAGACCTTCAGAGTACAGCTGTAATGAAACGATCAATACTGTCAGTTATTAACAGCTGATTGGTTCCAGTCCTGGTTTACGGCCTCAGATTCCTCAACGGGGCGTTTTGGATGCACACACCGAGAGTTGCTCAACTTTAATATGCAGAGCAACGACAGCAGATGGAAACTAATAATCTATCACTGCAGGCAGATTCACGAGCTGATGAAGGTCAATCAGCGCTCTGCTCCTCTTCCTCAGGAATTAAAACATTTACATCCTGATGCTACTGTTGAACATGTTTAAAAAAGAAAAAACTAAAATTAAAAAAACAGAAAACAGACTAATTTCCTTCATAAAATCAATCAAATTAAACCTTTAAATTCATTAGTGATGAAAGAAAAGACGATCATTTCTAAAGTTTTATCTGTTTAAAATCGTCTGAGTCACAGAGAGACGAAGGCTGCAGCAGCGCCGCTCCTCTTCCTCACAGGAAGGTCAACATGTTTCCAAATCAACCGAAGATCAATCCGAAACTTTCCTGCTCCGAACTCACAGCACAGTGTGTGTGTGTGTGTGTGTGTGTGTGTGTGTGTGTAACAGTGTAATAAAGGCTGCTATTTAAAAAGACATTAAAACAATGAAAGATGAAGAGCGTCAGACATTTTTACGCACTGCGGCCGTCGCTGCTCACACAACGCAAGGCTGGGCCAGAGTTTGTGTGTGTGTGTGAATGATGTGCAAGAGGAGTTCTCTTCCATAAGGCAGCAGCCTCCCACTGCTGCCCTTTACACACACACACACACACACACACACACACACACAGGTAGCTGGTTAAAAACGAGGTGTCAACATCAGCTCTGATCGGAGCTCCAAGGACGGCTGAGTGTGTCACTTAGAGCAGCGGGAGGTTTGAACTGTACAAGCTGAGTGTGTGTGTGTGTGTGTGTGTGTGTGTGTGTGTGTGTGTGTGTGTGTGTGTGTGTGTGAATTTAAAGTGATGACTCTGCTATCAGCCATTAGCAGACAGAGTGACCTTTCCTCCTCTTCATCCTCGTCCTGTTCCTCATCCTCGATGTTTGGACTTCGCCGCGTCATGTTCCGGTCGGACCTCAGAGCTGGTGCAGGAAGTCCGGTTTTTAACCGCTTCACAGCCACTTCCTGAGCTGACCTCTGACCCTGGCGGGTGTTTAAGGAATGAAGGGATGTGCTTTGGTTGCTATGACGACCGCAGGATCTCATAAGCGCAGGTTGCCAGATGTTTGCGGGTTGCCAGATGTTTACGGGTTGCCAGATGTTTACGGGTTGCCAGATGTTTGCGGGTTGCTTCAAGTTTAAAAACACTAAAAGTATCTAAGTAACACTGCAGTGCACCGTTTGGTCAGCGGGGGGCGACAGAGGCAGGAAGCTCACAGTTGGAACCAGAAAATTAGATGAAGAAACAAAAATATCTTTTTTTCTCTAACAGAAACAGCTGATTGGCTATAAATCTGTCAAAATAAAAGCTTTTCCTCTACAAATCAAAACATCATAGAACAAATAAATATTATTACTATTAATAGTAATTATTATTATATTATTAAATTATATTATGTGGCAAATGTTGCATTTACAAATAAAAACTTTGACAAATTATTTGATTTCCATAAATTCATATTCTTCATTTTCAACACCATTAATTTACCATTTTCAATTTATAGTTTTATCATTTCATTTAATTTGTGTCATTTCTTGCTTCTTTTTTATGTACTGTCACTTTAAAAACAAAATCATGTGTATAAAATAAAAGAAATGTGTGGTGGACTGATCATGCCAAAATTCTCATTAAAATTAGAACCTCGTCACAGAGGGAACCTAGAGGCTGAGGGAACCTAGAGGCTGAGGGAACCTCGTCGCAGAGGGAACCCGCCCCGCCAGCTGTCCTACCTGGGGTGAGTGAAGTCGTCCACCAGAGTAACTTTCTCCACCAGGTCTCCGCCCACCGAGCGAACCAGATCGTAGAAGTCGTTCTCCGTGAAGCGGTCGGCGGCGTCCGGCAGCCAGAAGGAAATGTCGTTGTGGAACGGCGGGTATTTACTGAAAGGCTGGAGACACAAACAGCGACGTCACTTCCTGTCCGGTTCTGGACCCATCAGAACGTTTTTGTTATTTGGTTCTGGTTCTGTTCGGTTCTCATCAACAGAACCAACAGCCAGCCTCCAGGTCAGTTCTTAATAATCTGCCCTAAAAATATTCCTTTTATTGTGAACCAATAAAATATTGGAAATAATTTTATTAAATATTTATTTTAAAAAAAGTAAAACTCAGATTCAACAAACTATTTTATACATTTTGAGTTGTTTAAAAAATTAAAATAAAAATATTAGCCCAACTCCATCATGTTTTAATTTATTCATCCAAGCAAAAAAAAAGCCACATTTTGACACCAGGAACAAATTTAAAGACAGTCATATTTCTTTTTAGCTCACATTTTCTGTAAATATCAATCAATCAATCAAATTTTATTTGTATAGCACATTTCAGCAGCAAGGCATTTCAAAGTGCTTTACATAATTTTAAACAGTGAGAAAGAAAAAGAATGTAATAAAAAGATAAAAAGAAAAGATAAAATCACAGCCTAACAGGACAAGGCCTCCAGCCTTGCAGCACCAGGCTCCGTCCGCCTGTTTCGCAAAAATTTTGTGCTAGGACTTTCGCTGTCCTACGCGGATTTTGTGCATTAATTGGTTACCTGTTAGTCTAGAATTTACAGGGTTAAACAGTGAGAAAGAAAAAGAAAGTAATAAAAAGATAATAAAATCACAGCCTAACAGGACAAGGCCTCCAGCCTTGCAGCACCAGGCTCCGTCCGCCTGTTTCGCAAAAATTTTGTGCTAGGACTTTCGCTG